CCCCAAAACCCCAAAACCCCAAAACCCCTAACTTCATCCTCTAAATTGGAATTATTTACTTGCCTTCAACTTAAGTTTCCTTGAAGTCACCCCCTTCTTTTTGCCTAATTTGACATAACTCTTCTTGCTCTTCATCCCAATCACCTTGTGTCCTCACTGGTCTCCTTCTTTAGTACCCAAATCTCGGTCAAAACTCCCAAAAGCAGCTATAAGCGCGTGCTCTTCACAACTTTCTGTGACTACTTGTTCTATACTTCGTTAGGCCAGGTTCGAGCAGAACCTCTGAAAATTTGGAAATTTATGAAGGAAATTTAAATAGTTTCTTAAGAATTGTGCTGGTCTAGGAAGTTGGGATAGAGAGTTTTTGGAGTCGAATTTGGTACTGAAGAGATTTTTGAGGGAGGTTTTTGAGGTACAACCTCTTCTTCCCACATCTACTTACTCTGAACAAATGGCAACTTCCGCTTCTTCAGTTCCTTCCTGCTTCTGGCAAGCTTTAGCTTGCCAGAAGCAGGCCACACTGAAGGCAACGTCGGCAAAGTAGTCTTCTGGTTCAAAGACTGTGTACGAGAATGGGACGACATAAATTTCTTAGGAGGCAGAACAAAAGGATTCCTCCCTGCAGAGATCTTCGAAATCTGCCCAAAAGTTTTCTGCACTTAAAGCAAAAGTTTACCTTTGAAGACTTCTGGTGCAAAATCTTTAGTAAATTTTGCTGATGGAGAATTCCTAGAAGAGTAAAGTAAGGCTATCGTACTAGGATTTTCGGCTATTTTATTTGGCAGTTTTTTGGTATTTCTTTTTGAGCTTATTTTGAGAGGTTTAACTGGAGAGGAAGGTGAGGCCAAGTAGTTGAAATTAGGAATTTTGGGGGGTTTTAGGGTGGTTTTAAGGGAAAATTGGGTTAGGAGAGTAGAGAAAACTTACATTTGAAGGAGTGTCTTGTAAGAGGACGGATATTAGTATTGGATTTTTAGGGCTCAAGTTCTTTAGGGATAGAGAGAGTTGTGTCTGAGGCAGTTTGACTGGTCCTGAGCTAGAAATATTTAGTTTTGGGTGTTTTTGTTTGGGAAATTTCTACTTATTAGTACTAGAGAATTTACAGACTTAAAGTTGGAGCTTTGACCAATCCTTGCATCCATTGTGTTCATTGCCTTCTGAATTTTTCATTCCTTGTCAGTGTTTATGTAAACACCCTATTGTTTAACATTTTAGAATTACTTTGATTCGGTCAAATGTGGTTTTAATATTAATGATATTATTTCATTTTGTCATAGAATTTTGATGGCTCAATTCCTAGTCAAGGTGAAGCAAATGGTTAATGACTTTTACCTGTATGTTCTTGGAGCTTTCTGATATAGAATCATTCTTATTCTGCATCATTCTTGTTAAATTAGTATTGAAATTGCATTCTTTTTCTTCAAATATTGGACTATTGGTAAAAGCAATGGCTTACAGGCCTATTTGAGCTCTTTTGGTAGGAGAGGATTCATTGTACGAAGATCACTCTGAAATACTATTCTCTGAGCATAATCCTGAGTTCCTTTTGCTATTTCCTATAATCTAGCATGGTAAGGTTACTTAGTGGGTTTGTTGAAGCCGCCTTCATGAAAGCCTCTAGGGCTTGTAAAGATGTCAAGCTCAGTGATACTTTTATGTCCCATACTTTTCCTGAACCCTGAAAGTCTATACAATTTGAATATTGGTTTTAAATTACTGTCAAGACATATTGGTTTTTCTTCTGCCTGCTTTTATACTACTTCTTTGGGAACTTCTGGTATTGGGGGCTTCCTGTGGCTCTTCTGGGGCTAGAGATTGATTCAGAACTTCTGAGGGGACTAGATAACTTACACTTATGTTCCTCGCTCCTGAGAAAGAAAGGGACTCTACTTTTGAAAAGTTTGTTAAACACTTTTGTTTTCTGTGCCATTTGTGTAAGAAGTTTCTCCATATCGCTTCTTTTGGGCTTTGGCTCTATTAGCTTCTTCTTTTGAGCCAGATTGGAGTTATAAGAGTCATTTGAGACATTCTGATCCAGATCTGGTTTATTAGGCTTCTTTTCAGGTTCTAGCTTGGGAGCTCCGAAGAAGACTAAATATAATAATTTATAAGAATTATGAAGTTTAGACATATGACAAAATGTGAGGATTTAGCTTACTTTCAAGGTCAGAGGCCACCTTTTTGCCTTTTGCCTTGCTATTCCTTCGACTAGTTCTGGCATACTTCTTGTGGGATGAATTGTTTTTAGATCTCTCTTGTGTCTTGGCTAGAAAATCTTTCATTTTATTTACAATCTATTCAATTATTAATCAAATATGAGGGGTTTTGGGGTTTTGGGGTTTTGGGGTTTTGGGG